TTTCATGAAATACTAGATCAGAACTGATTATCTCAGTTAAGCATATAATTTCATACAAACATAACGTAAATGGGTGGATAAATTGTTATAATGATATAATAAGCTATACTTTTACTACTTGTTCATCATAATTATTCATATAGAAGTGCTCATTATATGTAAAATTGCTTAACTGACATGTAATAATTATAGATGCGTTAATTTCAGTAACATCTAATAATTCACGAAATTATGATTTTGAAGAAGTAATGTTTTACTATTTATTAAAGACCTATTAACACCATGGAAGTAACTTTAAAAGATTAAATTTCCATTTCAGCAATTCAGCATTCGTTTCCATTCACATTAAATATCATTCTGTTCTATTTTTATTTGATTATTACTACCAATACCAATAATTAAGTAAAAACAATAACTGTAAATTCTTTCAATATAATCTAAAACTGAATGGGAATGATAAATAAGGAAGAAAATATAACGAAGAAATAAGCAATGAACATTGCAAAAATTATAATAATTTGGCAATTGATGACCTTCCCGCTAATATCGTTCTCTTGGAGGTCAAATAGGGAAAGATAATGGAACAACATGTCATTATAATAGACTAGAACTGTTGGATATGTACGTGTATGTATGTATGTGTGTATGTCTGTATGTTTGTCTATTTGTATAACGGCAATGAATAGAAAGTTGAATAATCAATTTAATTAATTTAATTAACACACACAGACAGAAGTAAGCAATGGATAGAAGAAGAAGAGGAGAATAAGAAAGCAGAGGTCAACGTTAACACCAATATGCCGTGTCAAGGTATCATAATTTTAATTGTTACTTCGATGAGATGTGCTATTTCAAATATAGACTAACACTGATTACAATCAGACGGGTTTCTTTTTTTCTCTCTTTTTTTGATTTATGAAATTGAAATATCTGTAATTCGTCAATAATGTTTTACTTAACCTTATAAAATAGATAAAAGGAATATGATCAAATACACTTTTACTGACTTATGAACATTGTTTTCCTTTCTTTCTTCGTTAAAATTTAATACAAATGAAATAGTTACGATTCAATTATAATTCAAGCTTCGATGAATAATTTATAAAATAAGCTCTTCCTTTTTTGTAAAATTCAACTGTCTTAATTCGACCAAAATTTATTTTATATTAAATTTTAAAATTCAGTTGAAGATAATTTAATTTCATAAAAAATGGGTACTTAGCTATCTTGTTGTTAAATGGGTAAATAATTGAAACAAAAAAAAAAGAATAAAAAAAGAAATGACCTTGAAACCTTTTCGAAATTAACAGACCTTGAAACCTTTTCGAAATCGAAATTATTGATTCACTTCTAAAATAAGAGAGAAAATCAAATATATTTTCAACATACCCATAGTGTCTCGAAAAAAAGGAAAAACTAATATTATTTGATGGAAGAAATAACAAATAATTGCATAAAAAATTGGGAATTAATTGCTTAATAGCTTTAATTTATCATTTACTTCCCAATTTATCGATATTTTTTATTTATGCTGAGCTATTCTCATTTTCCTAATAAATTTAACTCATTTCAAAAAATTAAAGGAAAAATTTGTGTAAAATTTGACTAATTGTCTGAAAAAACTTAAACATTAATCGTTTGAAATTGTTAAGTATCATATATATGTTAAGCAATGAACGACAATAATATCGTACCTTGTAATTACTGAAAATTATTCATTTCGATTATTTAATCAACAAATTGAATGGAATAAAGTGAAAAATGAATGAAGTTTTTTCTTTAGAAATTTGATCAACATATGAAATTGTTTTATTTCTTGGAATATTTAAGTGATAATTTAATTGGGAAATTAAAAATGTGAACAGAAGATTGGCAAAATACATAAGCAAGCTTTTTCGACAAATGTATTTGCAACTGTTGAATACCGATCATATAAATAAGGTATTAAAAATGCTAACATAAATGATTCATTTTTAAATTTATAAAAATAATAGGTGACTTTTGCTTCTTTTTCTTTTCTCATTATTTATTATAATTATATCATAATTGTTTCATTATCTAAATAAAATCAGATTTCATTATTGTTTTTCTGAAAAATAGTGCTAAAAATGATAATTTTATTTGTTAATCATCTGAAGTAAAATTTAATAACATACATAAGTCGAGACCACTTGAAAAAAATGAACTAATTAATGGATTGAAAAAGGTAAATTGGTAAAAAAATTTAAAAACTATACAAAAACAAAAATCATTTCTCAACTTTTAATTTCTAAAATTTTTCAAATTTAAATCATGAAAATTTGAAAACAAATACTAAAATGGCTAAATAATAATAATTTATAGGTGGAATTTAGGAAAATGGAGAGAAAAGAAGAAAAAAAAACACAAATAAGTGAAGAGAAGAGAAGAGATGAGCAAATACAAATAAGTGATCTGGACAGAAGACAACAGTTATTTAAAAAAAAATAAAATGATTCATTAACTCATCTATTGTCAAACAAAATTTAAACGAAAAAAGTTTGATTATAAAAGTAGCAAGTCAATTTTTTTTACTTCCCATTCATCTTATTAATATATTTTTTGAAAATAATAATATTTAATTAAAATGAGTGGGAATTTCTGAATTCTAATGTAATATTTTTGTTGGATAATATTGATGAAAAGAAATACTGCAAACTTAAAAAAAGAAAGAGAATGAAATTAAATTTTAAAAAAGTGAAATGAGAAATTCATTCTCTTCAAAAAAAAAAAAAAAATGACAAATGTATGTATAATTTTTGTACTAAATAACTGATATTTGAAGTAGACATAAGTGAAAATAAATCTAACAAATTTTTTTTGTTCTCGTTTTTTCTTTTTTTCTAGTATTCATTTATTATTATTATTATTATTATTATTATTATTATTATTATTATTATTATTATTATTATTATTATTATTATTATTATTATTATTATTATTACTATTATTATTACTATTATTATCATTATTACCATTATTATCATTATTACCATTATTGCCATTATTATCATTATTATTTATTATTATTTATTATCATTTATTATTATTTATTATTATTTATTATCATTTATTATTATTATTATTATTATTATTATTATATAATTATTATTATAATATTATTATTATTATTATATTTTTGTCATAAGTGTCAACAAATGAAAGAACACAAAAGAAAAAAAAACAAATACCACACTATAAATTTCAAAAAGAAATAATTGTAAATAGTGATTTAATATTAATGATGATAAATTATTAAAATGAAATGATAGCAGTAATACATAGTTGATAGTAATATGATAAGTGATAATTAATGGTAGCAATCTTCTAATGAACAGTAATAGTTATTACCTAATATGGGAGGAAATATGGGATATGCATAAGATATGTTGATAAGATGAATGATATCATCCGTCTTAGAATGCTTCCATTTTATCAGCTTATTTTCTTATCTTTAAGACTTATGTCAAAGCAATAAGGCATCACCATAATACTGAATGGTCATAGGATCTGTTGCAGGGATAATTCCGATGTAAACAGTTCACCTTCTCCAGCATCCTTCAAAGCAGGTGGTAGTAGCAGTGGTAGTAAGGAAGTAGCTTAATGAATCGGAATTGTCAATAAATGCTAAAATGCACTTAAAGCTAATCCTTTCCTTCCTTCTGTGTTACGATCGATTTCATTACGCCTTTCTTTTAGGAATAGTAGAACTACATAAGTACACATATATTCACACACATAAACATACATATATACGTACACACATAGGACACACACACACACACACACATACACATGCAAGAGTGAAGTGAAGAGAAGGAAGCAAAATGAACAGGTGAGGATGTATATATGAAGTGGAGATCAGGGATGGTTCTTTCAGCAATCGCATTTTACATGCGGCACTGTTACATTACAGCTGCACGCTGAATTCCATATAATGCATTTACAGCTCAACAGAACGTACGTATCGCTCTGTGTTATCCACTACTATGATTACTACTACTGTCACTCTTAATGTTCTCTATGTGCTGTTAAATTAACTCATCCATCATTAGTAGTTCAGATGGCAACCATTTCTCTCATTTTTAATTAAATGTCAAGTTTTAGAATCATTTGCAAACTAATAGATGGATAACCCGATGCTTTTGTCCTGTCAATTGATTCATTTATCAATTGTTTTCTTTGGTTTATACTATACCAATGAGTGCAATCTACCATTTTGCATTTTTTTTTTCGCGTTTTCTCATTCATTCATTATGACTAACCATAATAGATATTAGCATGTGTTATTTGATATTAAATTCAAGAGACGTTGATCAGAATATTTTACATTTGATTATTTACTTATCAGTTGCCAACTAGTACCATATTTCGATATGTCCACTTAAGTAATAACAATATCACTAATAATACCTATAAATACTAAAGCGAAGCGTTTAGCACTGATTTTTTCATGATCATTATTAAATGAAAGAGTCATAGATGTATAAGTTGCTTTGTAACAATTATTTCATGATGATATTTATGCAAATATCTATTTATGTTTGGTCACTTAAATAAATAATCAAGCGCATATTTTCGTTCCATTTGCATGCCAAAAATTGTCAACATTGGAAAATTTAATATTTATTTCTATAATAAAAATTTGCGAGGCACTATATGGAAAATGCATGAAAAAAAAAAAATCAACTGACCCATTTTAATCACCTTCTAATTACACGCATCAATGAAAAGGATCCAATTAAAAGATCTAAGTTATATCTAATTTATCTAATTGAAAAAATTCTAAATAAAATATAATATTTAATTAAAAGAACCGAATTACGAGAAAGGGTTCATAATTCGACTCGTAAAAAATATGCACCTAATAAAAAAACATTTCTATAATAGCATAATTTACAGGGGGAATGCTTTGCATAATCAATAATTTATAACATGCTAAAAATCTACAATAAAGGAATGGAAGACTGCCGATGACGAGATTAAATGTTGAGAACGAACATTTTTTTTTTTGCATTGTCTAAAATTCATTTATATAACCCTCGAAAAATCCATGAGAAAAGATTGTACAGAAGAATAACCTAAACTATTTTTTCTAGAATTAACATTATTATGAATGGATAAGGTATAATTTGAAGTTTCGATGGAATTTATAATAAATCACAATAACATAGAATTCCAGTTTTATACCTAATTCTATCATTATCACTTAAAATACCAACTGGTACCATTTCCACTATATCCCTCCAGTGCTTTCATCCGACACTTCGTCAACAGCGTCCAGATTTCACCTCTTATCCATACCGCTGCTTTTTCATCAAGCTTTGCAATTCCTCGAATATAATCAGCAATTGACAAGCCTACAAAAGATTATCAATTGTTAAATTTGTCCTCGAGAAATTTGAAGGACTAGGATCAAATTGATTGGATTCAAAAACATTTATTGACTTTTATTGATGAATTAAATGCAACAGTTTGACGATTCCGAGTAAAGGTCACAATCACCTCTCTGGCATAATCACAAAAATTGTGGTGATGACTTTTGATTTTATCAAAAAGGTTCATGTCACTATATGTTTCATCAACACGAGTCTATTATAAAAAAAAATTTCCTTATAAAATCAACGAAGTCACGAACCAAAATGATCAAATTCATCCATCCTGGGGAAACAACTATCTTCTTTATCATGTATTTTTGAATCAATATCTTTTTGAGTTTTGTAATCCGATGATCTGTTATGTTTTCTTCTACGGCGGATTGGTAGTAAAGTAGTAGAAGTGCCGGGGATTGCAAATTCAGAGCACGATTTCTTTGATGAAATATTTTCACTCAAATTTTGTAGACCATTCTCTTCGTTCATCATAATACAGCATCTAAATTTTACTAAGAAATAAATTTGGTCTTTGAATAATGCTAGTAAAATATGCATTTCTTAGATGATTCCCTATAAGTTAGCCATTATTTCCTAGATAAAAATTATTTTTATTTCAAATTGTGAAATAGTAAAGTTTCTCGAAAAAAACCAGAAATAAGACTTCATAATCTTACCGAGATTGCTTACAAGGCATCAAAAATTTCAGTTCTTCAGAAAATTTGAATGACGGAAATCGGCAATCATTAGACTCCATATTTCTGATTTTGTTGATAAATCGCACATACTGATCTCTCAAGGACTTCCATTGCCTCGCTATATCATCTGCTAAATACCACTTTTGCTAAATACCACTTCCATTGCCTCGCTATATCATCTGCTAAAATACCACTTATATTTAGAAATGGCTTTCAATTATATGTCACATTATTTCATAATCGTTTTGACTTATAGGTTCTTCGCTTCGTTTCATAGTTGCTTCTTTATTTAACTATCAAAATCATCTATACGAAAGCAAAACAAAAGCTTTTAAATCCTGGAATGAATATATTATAAGGAGTTCGTATTTTCACGAATATAAAATTTAGCTTACATCAATTTAGTATACTATACGTCTCGAAAGCTTTACATTATTCATATTTATTTAGTAATCATTTCGAAGATACCATTCAAAGCATATCCCGTTCGATGATAGAAAGATTCAATGACTTCGTTCCTCTCATTTGCCGCATATTGTAAGTCCCTACATTTTGGATGGTTATGATCCCATAAACAGGGTCGTTTCTTCATTTCTTGTATTAAAATCTCACGTAGATCATCTGCCCATATTACTGAAAATGTTTTTGTCAAATCTAAAAAATTCTGATTTGAGCTAATTTTTGATCATTTTGCTGTTTTCACCATATCTAAAGATCTTAGCTATGCGATATTTCAGTTTGGTATATCACTTTGTATGGTTTCAAGCTTTTTATCAGCTCCCATCACTTTAAATTTTCAATAAAAAGCTTACTTCTTTTTTTTTGCCATCTGATCTTCTATAGCTGACAGTGACTTTGCACTCCCACCCACGATCACAACATCTAATAAACTTTATATTTAATTTTCAAAATGAAATTTGACAGTAAAATCTTCACTTTTGAAATAAGTGTCACAAATACTACTGGTACCATAAAAATAATGAGTAAAATATTGCATACCTAATTTAGGTTTAACAGATGATACCGATGTCGTAGTAATTAAATTCGAAGGTGAGTATATGTGATCACCGAACAACATTGCCGTTACCGTAGCATGTTCACTATGAGTATTGTTTGTACTATCATCAGTGTTACTATAATCACGTTGAACCTGAAATTCTAATGAAGAAAAGTCTATAATATACTACAGTAGACTGCAATTTCCCCTTTACAAATTTGTAAGTTGCAGATGGCACATAAGTCAACAATCTTATTTCTTTGATCTAAATTATGCATTTTACAAGCATTCTTGTAATTCTCTTCATAAAAAAAGAGAGAGAAAAAAACTAAATGAATTAAAAGAGTTAATACATGTCCATGAAATCACATTTTTGATTTCACAACAATTAGTTTTAATATTCAAATTAAGAAAAATTCTTTTTCTCAATTTAAAAAACTTCTAAGCAACATCTCTATATTATTAAACAAACGCAATAGAAGACATCAGTAGCTTTTTCGGTAGAAACAAGTAATTGTTGCGTATTGCTTTGGTCAGTAAAATCCACATCAGCGGCATCACTATTATGCCAAACATTTGTTGAAACAGCTCCTGATTCTGTTCCATCTCCTGAATTTGTAGGATCACTGACCAATGTAATGAAAGCGTTTGATGATCCTAACCCATTAGTCCACTGTAACGTTCGACCATTATCGGTCTCATGTTCATTTCTGCAAAATAAAAAAACCAATGAAAAATGAAATAGGATTCATAAAAATTTGTTGGAATATGTTGAAAGTCACATCAATCTTTTTTAGTTGCGTCTTTCTATTTTGTCCTGCTATATCGGTTTTTGTCACTCTAAATAGCCACAACAGTTAGCAAATAATATCACCGAGTTCATGCGAACGGCAGGAGTGCGGATAGCCCAATAGCTGGTGGCGCAAATGAATACCACAATGATAGTATGAATGAATTGCAGAATATTCTAATAGAGATACGAATACATATTGAGTGTTTGCATATGGCGTTAGAACTTAGTGATTTATGCCATAAGTTTGCATATGGCATAATGCGTACAGAATTCTGATGAACCGAAATACCGAGATTACGGGTACGATCACACCATATATAAACCAATACAGCATGCAAACTTTTGCTGATCTTATCGTAATTATATTTCGATAGCTTCACTATGAATTTATGTACAGTATTCTCTTGGTTTATTTCAAGCTTCCGATTATTGCTACTTTCGTAATTTAAGAAATTCAACCCGAATAAGTATGATGAATTTCGATTTTTTACAATAGATTTTTATCACTGCAGTTTTGATAGAAGTAATGATAGGATTAATGTGAAGTAAGTCAATGAAAGATAGTAATGAAATACTGATTAGATGAATGAACTCGTACAGGAGCAAATAAAAATTAATTGAACTTACGAGGTGTTGCCGAACTGACCGACTTGTTCATCGGGAGCTTTCCTTGTTGGCATCATCGAAAGCTAACTCAGGAACAACAGCAATTATTATAATAATAGTAACTCATAACAGTAATAATATCATCACACTTTAAATCTCAAAAAGTTGTGAAATTCCGTAGAATTTTTAAATTCATAATTAAATAAAGTCACATAACCATAATAACAACAACATTAGTAATAATAACGCTCATTACTACTAATCAAAGCAGCAACAATCGCACACGCTGCGCTGTCGCCAGCCGTATTAATAGCATCGCTATGACGCGCGTGCTGCACACTGCAGCTACATTGCTGTCGGCACAAATACCAGCATTGTTATTTAACGATCACTACTGAGACTTAGATATGGCATTTAGCGGCTAAAAACGCTTTTCCGGGGGTTTTTTCGGGATTTCGGCGATTTCTTTGAATGGATGCCTTTTCACGTAGGTCAACTGAGTCACGTCTCTATAGAAGTACAATTAAGTTAATTAATTTTTACATATAATTCAAGAGATTTTGGAGTGACCTTCTTTCACCAAACATACACATATACTCTGCATCATGTTAGTCAATTAAGACTAATTAGTTTTTAAGGTTCAAGAATGGCTGAAACTTATGAGACTTACGGCATCTCAAGTATATAAAATATAGCAGAAGGATTTATCGTTATTTATACGCCATAAACAGTTAAGAAATATATTATCACAATGAGATGTCAGTTGATAGCATTTGACGAGAATTATTTCTTTTTAGTTCTATTTTTCATCTATAATTTTTTGTAGATAACGACGGCATCCAGCTGCAGAAAAACTTTACGAATGGCTGCAGAAAAACGTATATTATTAGTATAAGATGTTGAGGATGATAATTGAGATAGTATTGGACGAGAAATATCATCTTTGGAGCGTCTAATTACTATTTAAGTACCATCTAACTAATTTTGTTTAGTAAAATTTAAATTTCGTCTTAACTGTATGTAATAAGTAACAGCTTTCATAGTTATTCGAGTAATTATCTCCATTGCTAATTATACTTGCTGTATATTATTGTTTATTTATTGGTATAATTTACTTAGCAGTGATTGATATCGCATCAGAAATAATATGTGGAATGCTACTTGATTTGGTTACAGTTAATAAGTTGTTAGATACAATTCGTTCCACCTTTGATTCCATTGCTAATAATGTAGAAAATAATGCGAAGGAAATTGAGTTGAATACTAGTTGTCAAATTGACTATTTACTTGAACTGCCTAATATGAATATGCATGAACTTCGTATAATTATCAGTAACTGTTAAGTTATTAATTAATGAGGAGGACATAGTGCTTTGAAGTAAACGAATGCATCATAAAATATATTGTAAAAATTATGAAAAACAAAATATACGATTCAATATTAAATCATCGATTATCCTGGGGTTAGTTATCTTCCCCTCTCCCTTCTCCCCAACATTAATCGTGCTTGATCCTTATTTCATTACCATTAGTTTACTCCCGAGAACAGCGGAATTCTTTTACATGTTTTTAAAAAATTTGTTCTTTAAGAAAAAAGAATTGGAACAATTACAATTTATAAAAGATTGAAAACTGAAAATGCATTCACTAAAGGAAATTGAATCAGCCAAGTATGGTATTCATCAAATGAAGAAAACGCAGTATTGTTAGTAGAACTAGAAGGGAAATTAAAAGATATTTTGCAGGTATAGTTTTTCACTTATATTGTGATAGGAAGTTCTTTTGGTGTTGAATTGAGAAAAATAGGTACAGTCATCATATAATTCTTTAATTACAGTAAAATAAATTTGCATTTCAGAATTTAAACATAATTAGCAGGTTTGGCATTTCATATACTTCAACAATCTTTGTTAGTTTACCTTGATTTTCATAGATTTGGCTGATGTTCTAAAGATACTATAGTCATGAACGAATACGAGAATTGTTTTCAAACAAAATTGAATAGAATCAGCGTTGCTGTAAAAGTATTTTTGTGTAAAACCGTCGTTGTTAATAATATGTTAGGCTGTAATAATTACAGAAGGATGAAACTGCTTATGAAGCATTCGCAGAACGCATTGGCCCAACATTAAAAACAGAATTTGTAACGCTGCGACAGAGTTTAACCTACATGTTGAATAGTTTCTGAGATCAGATATTTTCTTTGCGAGAGCTCAATAACAAATTATTTTGCATTTGACGGCATCTTAGCTGTGATGCTTTGAACGAAGTTTGTATTTTCAAAAATCTTTTATTGTTTTAGGTCCTAACTCAGTTATTGAAATGGGGGTTTTTTAGGTTAATTCTAATTATGATGTGCAAAGCCACTTTAAGATTAATAACATTTTATGAATTATCTTGTATCATTTATATCTATATCTACATTTAATGTTTATTTTATTACATAATATTGTTATGTAATGTTTATTTTATTACATAATATTGTTATGTAATGTTTATTTTGATGACTATAGCAAAACATCGGAATGATAGAGTGGACTATATAGATTTTAAATATACAATTGTTTCATGCATTAGTAATAATTAAAATATGTTTCCCATATTATTATCATGAATTTCAAACGAAGCTAAAAACTTAAGAATTATGCTTGGTATTACTACTTTCTTCAAACCGATTAGAGTAGTAGTGTCCATAAATATTTTAAAAAATAATTTGTTTAAATGAATAAATGAGATTATTTCAGAAATTGTCTGCAAGGGATTTTTTAAATTTAATTGATGTAAAAATTGTCAAATTGTTATCATTTTTTTGATTACTGAAAGGATTCTGCGGTAATTATCATTTATCATAGTGATACTTCCTTCTGAGAACATGAATATGTGGTACGGAAAGAAAAATCAGTAGAAAATGAAAAGAGAAAATGCCCTGATCCAGAAAAAGCTACTGGTAAATGAAAGGCGCTTTAAACTTATTTCCTAAAGATTCATGAGTACCTTTTACATACACTTTATATAAAATAGGGATTTCTTTTTTGTGTGATAAAAACGCATAAAATTAAATCAGATTTTTATTTTGATCCCAATTGTGGGAAATTTCAGTAGTGTGCAGCATTAAAATATGGAACAACAAGGAGATATTTCTTTCTTCCTTATTATCTATCAGTCGGTCAATGGAAGTTAGTGGAGAAAAATATGGTTCAACTGATCAGTGATAAAATATAAATATATGTATATTATTGGTGCATGAAACCTTCCTTACACCAGCTGTTCCTACGATTTGAAGCCTTTTTGTCATCGACAGATCAATTTGGGGAGGAGATGAAGGTTCGTAATTTAGCTCCTTTCCATTGTTTATTATCTTAATTCTGACCAGGAGATGATTTATTATATCTTAATTTAACACTTCTACTTCAAAAATTAGGATTCTTCACAAATTTAACTGAATCGTTCCAGAAATTTGCTGAAAATTACGAGAATACGTTTATTAATCGACACTGCAGCAAGATTATTAACGAAGGCGAACTCCTTTGAAGCGCTATCGACGGAATTTGTTCCAATATATATTTTTGCATTTTGATTAATAATAGGTCTGATAGTAACAGATCAGAGACCTTTCCGTAGAAATTGGTTGTTGTTAAGGGGAATCATTGCTGACTTTGGTTTTCAGTATTAAATAAATGATAACCAGTTGTTAATGGATACGGTAAAGAATTCTATCCATACTTTGCAGCTTTTCCTTGTATTAACGGGAATCATTGCTTTCATTGATTATATTTCTATATTTCTGGTTCTATTCAATTGTGTCGGTCCGTTGTTTTGCTCGTTTTTGTTGATAATTCATGGACTTCGGCACATGATGCTATATCATAATCTTAAATGTAACTATTATATTTTATAGGATGAAATAGTTTTAGGATTTCATTATGAAATCCTAAAATTTAATATAATATTAGTATAACAATGCAGTTGCACATATTTTAATAAGACTGCTTAATTGTAAAAACATTGGATGATGCAGCGAAAGCAGACTCTGCTTCAGCTATGAATAAAATTTTACAAACAGCTCGTAATTATAGTTAAACTCTATACATGTACCTCATCTCGAAATCATGACTCAAAAATATCTTCGGTTTCTGTTTTGGCAGGTTATAATTTATTTTTCAGTAATATCTCGAATATTGTGTTTTACCAGAGTTACATAAATACTCATTGTAATTTGCTTATCGTTAATCAAGATTATGTCTCTCTCTGACAAAACCATACATCCATAAATAGTGAACCACAAACTGACTATCATACATCCTTGAATTGTTAATCATGTTTCTAATCGTCTGAGTATCATACATCCATAAACTGTAAATCGCAATTGTTTATATCTGAGAATCATACATCCATAAAATATGAACCACCATTGTATCTACCTGAGAATCATACATCCATGTATTGTGAATCGCAATTGCATATCTCTGACTATCATCCATGAATTCTTAATCATATTTTTATTAGCCTAAGAATCACATCTATGAATTGTGAATTGCAGTTGTATTCGTATGAGCATCATACGTCCATGAAATGTGTGTCACGGTTGAATATTTGTTAGTATCATACATCCATGAATTTTTATCATAGTTATTCGTTCGAGTATCATCCATCCATGATGTGTTAATCACTGTTAATCACAGTTCTATTCGCCTGAGTATCATGCATACATGATTTGTAAATCACGTTTGTATACGATACTTCTATACATAGAAATTTTGAAGCGGGTGATGATGCTGATAAATGGTTACCAGAATTACTGAAACAAGGATTTACTAATTAAACTATTAAAAATTCAAACTTCAAGTGTTTACCAAAAAATTTAAATATATTTAGCCTGAAAATAACCATAAAATGTAAATTAAGGCAGGTATTTCGAATCAATTACTAAATTGATTAGTAAAGTTTAAAAATATGCAGTAGATAACGTAATGTAATTTAATAAAAAAGTAATTTAATTTAAAAAAAGAAAAATAGTAATCTTGTTGTAGTAAATACGAACTAAATCCTCGATCGAAATTTTTTGCGAAAGCAATTCGAATAATATCAAATGCTGGTTTTCAACATATATTAATGTAATTGTAATCAATTTCCAATAAATTAAGGAAAAGATGGAGCAAACAGAAAGCGTTATGGAAAAGATTTTGGATAGTATAAGATAATCAACGATAGCATATAATAAAATGTTGTTGAACGTTTGGTAGGATTATGACTAGATTTGCGACTAGTATACACTATTAACTGTTACGCTAATACTGGAGTTAATATTTTTTAATTTTATCCAATCATCTTTATGGCCTAGCAGACAGTGGAAGACTAATCATTAATATCCTATAAATGGCTGAGTAATGGCTGAAGTCCACCTGTTGTACCTTGTTGTGTTGCAATAGCACCATAGCAGTTGAGCTTGTCGCTTTTGCAAGATCATTGAGTGAATTTTCATTTTTGAATTTTCTGTCGTTTGAGTATCCATTGCGACGCCCGAAATTTACTTATCTCTTATTTTTATACTACTGCAATGCATTTTTGAAAACAAAACAACGCATTTCTATTTCGTATAGTAGAGATTCTCCTTTTATTGCACAAATTTTTTTTGTTAGCAATCATCAGCAAGTGTAGATTATTAACTATTTTCTGAAAGTAAAACAAGTTGATACAGAATCTCTGGCATGACATGTTGACTTTAAATACAAAATCTGAAGACTTCTAATTTCCCTAACTTCACAGTGCATTACGAATTTTAATATCAAATCACGGTATGAATGCCTTATGTGAAGAAATATTAATTCGGAATATTAATGCTTGCCTGAGACGAGACCCTTTTTGCTGTGGACCAGTAGCTCAGGTGCTCGCGTATGCAGATTACGGAGATGGATCGTCACCACAGCCAACAGCATCGCCCATTTGCTGCTGTTGTTGTGCAGTGGCAACCGCAGCTGATACAGCTAGCTGATCAACAGTTTGCTGCTGTTGCAGGCATTGTTTATGAGTGGCACTCTGTGAAGGTGTAAGGAGATTTGTTGCTTTGCGATGTCAACCCGTAAAGAATGAAATAAAATGAAATAGTGTGACGAGTTATTCAGAAAAAAAAAATGTCAAACACAATCACAGAAGCTTTACTGAACTAAGCAAAATATCTAAATCAACCCAAAAATTTCAACTGCTACTAGTACACAATCCTAATAGACATACCGCGGTTGTCCGATACATCCATCATCAGTGCTGAAAGATAGATATCCAGATTAGGCGATCTACAATAGAACACATTAACACCATTTAATTATAAGGTCTCATTCCGAATCATTCATATTAGTTAAGTTATAAGGTTAATCTCAATCAACCATGTAGATTGTTCCTATTGTTCAGCAAGAAAGAAATTAGAAGTAATGATCAATAAGTGAAAAGATAGATTTATATATAAGAACTGACGAATAACTTGAAATGAAAAGTTAAAAAAAAAAAAAAAAAAAACGCATGAAAAGTTAAAAACTTGAACTAAATAATCTGTTTATAGGATTTTTTCGTTGAAAAAATTTAATTCAGTCCATTCCACATATAATTGGGCGACAAATTCATCGTAATATTAATGATGTACTAAACGCTGAATGTATTGTTGCACAGGATCTAGTTTTACTACCAACAAAAGTTGATTATAAAAAATTAGAGCAAAAAAAACGAGCAATATGATAGCAATTCAATTGCTCATATTTTTAGTAGTTCGGAGTAACGATACAACTGTCGCAGATTTTAACATCGCGAAGCACTAAATAAATGTTAACAATGCTTAGTATAGCAAACCATTGATGTCTTTTACAATTCATCGTAATGGTTTAATTGACTTTTGATCTTATATCAATTCATATACAATGAGCATCTATCATGTAAAATCTATTGCAACTCATAGTAGCCACTTATGATAATGTCTAGACAACTCATTGTACTTTCTTTCGTGATATCCATTTTTAAACCTATTGTTAAAGTTAATTACTATCATCCTTTGTACAAGAATGTCTAATTATAAACCACTTCCACATTTTAACACATATAATGTAAGATAATTGCTTATAAGGATCACCTTTATTAATAGATTTTAGTATATCTGTTAAAAATGTGGAAGTGGTTTATATTATTAATAGATTTTAGTATGTGTTAGTATATCTGATTTTAGTATTTATTGCCAAGGACTGACGATGAATCACGATTATATTCGTCTAAGTATCTTACGTCCATGAATTGTGAATCATGATCTGTGTATCATACGTCTTTGAATTGTTAATCATATTTATAATCGTCTGAGTATCATACGTCCATAAATTGTAAATCACAATTGCATGTATCTGAGTATCATTCATCCACAAATTGTGAATCACTATTATATCTGTCTGAGAATTATAATTCATGAATGTAAATCACAGTTGTATTCGTCTGAGTATCATACATTCATGAATTGCGAACCACGATCGTATATGTCTGATTACCATACATCCATAAATTATTCATCGCGGTTGTACATCCTTCAATTATTAATCATGTTTGTACAATAAGCACACATATACAATAAGCATAACCTATACAATGAACAGACCATACACGTATACAAAGGACACGCATATGCATTAAACATAAATGAAGATACTTATATAATAAATATACATGTATGCAATAAACACACATATACAATAAACGTAATGTAAACAATGAACATACATATATAATAAGCATACAAGTACGCAATGAACACATTTACAACAAGCATATAGGCATACAATAAACATAAAGTATACAATGAATGCACATATACAACAAACATACATATATACAATAGACACGCATACACAACAAACATAATGTAAATAATGAATATACATACATAATAAGTATAGACACATATACAATAAACAAATATATACAAAAGCATACAGGTATACAAATACCAGAAATATACAATAAACATAACGTATACAATGAGCGTGCATATAAGATGAAATTGCTGAAATTCCGGTACTGGAGAAAACAAGAATATCGGAAAAACAAAATTATGGTGTTATATATACTTTGCATGAATGTATTCTCAGCAATAATTAACTATTTTTTATAATTTAAAAAAGTATTCTTTAATAGAAAATTTATAATTTGAAGCAATTTCTTGATCGTATGAACAAATGACGAACTTTACGTATAGTAATAGTGATAAATAAGTAGGAATATATAGGAAAGGAGAGGGGACATGACAGGATGGAGGGAAGGAATAAATAAAGGTCATAGCAATTATTTCTGCAAAATGTTCTAATAATAATGAAATTCTATTAAAGACAAAACTTTCCCAAATCTAAAAACTTCTTACTCAAAATGAATTTCATGTAAATTTAATTGCTAATTTACTTTAATACTTAATCCAGTATTAATTTTTCTTATTTTTTTTTATAATATTTTTTCATTTCAACTATTTTCCTTTTTCTTTTTTTAAAGAAGGTATTTACCTTACTTATACTACATGATATGATAAGATTTTTGTGTTTTCCATTACAAATGAAATTAAATTAGTACAATATCAATTATTGGAATTTTTTTATATTCCAATAATTTGTATTGTGATATTTTTTTACTGAAAATTATATAGTATTAATGAGGTTAATGTTTGTTAGTGTAAACATTATGCTCTAATTTCAATGATATTTCGACAAAAAATATTATATTATAATGAAAATTAATTCTATCTGTAAAAAATCATGTCTGTTTGTTTTTCTAAATATCAGATTTCAAAAACAGTGGATTATACATCATTTATGTGAAAGATCAAAACCATAGCAGAAATGTTGTTCTATTTAAAATTAATTGGTAAAATAATTTATGTGTCATTTAGCACAATTAGAAATATTCCATTAAAATATCTAATGACTGAATATGAAAATATGTATTAAGAATATGAGAAATAGTTTTGTTGAATTTGATGCAAACCACTGCTTCGCAGCTATACTGTTCTGAATAATAAAATTTGTTGACATAAGCTCACAAATTTTAAAATGTAATTTTCAAAAAATAGTCTATTTAATGGCTTCGAAGATTAGTTTTATTTTTACATCAATCAATTTGAAATATTTATCATAAAAACAGAATTAAAATTATGATAGTATGTGCTGATTTATTATTTACAATATCAAATAAAACAATCAGTAAATGGAAAGAATAAATTTATTCTTCGCACCTTATTTTTTCTTTTTATCATCTTATTTTTTTTTTTCTATTTATTTTTTCTTTAAAGTTTAATTTTAATTTGCTCTTAATCGTTCCACTGCCATACTAAAAAATGAACACTGATCGGCACACATCATTTGAAAATGTCTGCACCAAATCTCTGCCATATCACAGTACGCTCCCTGTAAAAATACTCTTCCTGTCATTCTTATCATATTGACATTATCACTTGTAATAAATAGCTACCAATAATTCCAATCTTTTTTCATTATTTGCAATGCAAAACTGATTATTACAGTTTTTTTGTTCTACAATAAACAGCGCACTTTCTTCTATTATAATAAACAAAAATGCGTAATCATGGATTATTTCTTTCTATATTAATGTTTAATTTTTGAAAATAATTTTGCTAGATTAAAAGAATTCAAAAAAAAGTTATGCTTAAATAAGCTCAGTTAGACGATGGAATAACTTTATTTTTATTGCCCTTGCAATTTATGATAATTGGCCTAAAATTTTAGACATTTTTTTTTGAATAAATATTGGACTAAATTTGTTAACCTTAATAATATCGTCGGAAGAATGCATAAATGAGCTAAAATTTATGGAAAGACGTCCGATGAAGAGAAGCATAGCATGTAATATTGGCCAAATAGCTTGGACAATTAATTCGATAAATGCAGCAATTGAAAGTTCCAAATAACTAATAAACAAGTAACTGGCAATAATGAAACCTGTTATTGTTGCAGGACGCTAGAATTAATTTATTAGAGCCAGGAAACATTTTGAAAAAGAATTACATAGAATTATGGTGAAAAATAAGCAATTATGCTAAATAAATTCTCAGCAAAATAATAGTTATTATCGGTTTTTTAAAATCGAATTCAAAGAGAATTTAAAATTAAATAAAAAAGAATGCATTCTCATTAAAATGCGAAATTTAGGTAATTTTTTTTTCAATGAGATAATAAGCTAATTTAACGCAGAATACATGAATTGATACCATTTCACGTAATGTAGATTGTTACTATCGAGGGAAAAAAAAGAAAAAATAGCAATTTAAAATTAAAACAGGTATTTTAGTTTAAAATTGTTAGAATAAATCTTATTAGTTGAAGATAATTTGTAATTTTATTTTGGTTTAAATAAAAGTTGAAAAATAACTGAGAGGAAATTATTAAATCATAATTATTATTCTCCAAAGAGTTTTATTATTGATTATAAACAATTATCATTGTCATCAACAAATAACTATTTTACTTGCTATATGGTACCCATCATTATTTAAATTTTTCTTTCGTTTATTACTATAGAATTATCTCATACTTATACGATATTTACCGGATGATCCTTCAACAATTGTATGAATTTAGTTAGAAGAAGAAGAAAATCATCAAGTAATTGATAAAATGCATGGGAAAATCGATGAGCAGATATTTTATCACTATAAAAAAGAAAAAAATTGTTAGAAATTAATAAAATTAATTTTAGTATATCCATAATAACGATAATCAAAGTTAATTTATTACTTAAAAAATTGCAATTCTAATAAATGGAAGATAATTATCTAAGCAAAGAGAAGATTGAAACACTCAAAATAAAACTTTTTATTATTATCAATGTCAGTAAATAATTTATATATTGGATATAAATTATTTATATCATAAATTTGTTTTTTTTTTGTTATTGATGGCATATTATTCTTCTTTCATTATTTAAGTTTTTTTTTTCTAAATTACTTTCTTCTATCCTTGCAAATATTAATGAATAATGGGATTTTTTTCAATAAAACATGCTATTTGAAATTCAAAATTTGTTATAAATTTGATAAAAGTATTTCTGATAATTAGTATAAAATGAACTCTATTTTGCTTTGATTAAGATTGCAAATATTTTGGATATCTGGACACATCGAGATATCATCACGTCTTTCGGAAACTGAACCCTGGATGACAAATTCACTACTATAAATGAAAATAGATTAATTGTTTTTATAAATAATTATGTTATAATCAAAAAGATTATAACATAATTATTATAATTCAACAGATAAGGAATATTTTTGATCAATTGGATACCAACCTTCACTAAATCTTTTCAAAAGTAAATTAAAAGTTGGTTTCTTCTAAAAGTTAATTTATAAACTGATTTTCTCTATAATTAATAACTATTGAGAAATTCTCATTACATGAAACATATATATATATATATATAATTCTCAAAACAAAACAAACAATATAATTTTAACTGATTTAAACAGATATTATAACCAATATAGGAGAACTTAACTCTCACTGACTCGTTTGTCACATTTTAGGAACTAACTTTGAAGTGGATGAATCTATATTTGATCTATGACGCCTGCTGCTTTTCCAAGAATGTCGTTGTCGTTTGCGATAATTTCGATGGAACCGTTTTGGTACTATCGATGTTTCATGACCCATAGATTTTGTTGAGTTCTCTTGCGGAGCTCAATTTAAATAACTTAATTTTAAATTGGATCCATCAAAGATGTATCATATCTTTCATACATACATACATCATCGTTGTACATATTATAAACTTCAATAACAAATATTAGCTCATTTAATTAATAAATAATTTCGAAGCAAAAGCATAAATATGTATTTTAAACTTGTATTACTATGCTTTTCTATGATAATCTATAATTCAATTAGTTTTGGAGAAGATTAACTTCTTTCATCATATTAAATTAAAACAGTTTACAGAAATCTAAAATCTAATTACATTGCATAAGATATTGATATTACTATGAGCATTATTAAGTTTGTAATCTAATCATCTAAATAACTCATATTTAATTCTGGTTTGAGTGATTTAAGAATGGAGAGAAAAATATAAGCGAAAGGTCAAATATTAAGGATATCGTAAGAATATGCATGGAATCTGCTTCACATGCTGAAAATGTCACTTTTCTTTACTTAAAATTATTAGAAAAAAAAATTGAGAATAATATTCGATAATTTTAATAAACGAATGATTTTTCTTCTTTGTTATTAACATAAATGGTCAACTGTACAATGAAGAAAAAAGGATTTATCCAGTAGAAGTTGATAAAAAATACATAATTATGAAGATGAATGATCTGTTAGCAATGGTTAAATATCTCAGGAAGAAATGTCACACAATACTGTGTCACCAATTATTATAAATTTGCTTATTAAAATATAATAGGAAAGAATTACTGCTTGTTGCTTGTGATTGCATTGTGCCATTCAGTAATTTAGCATTTGAGATTAACAAATCAGTTCTGACATTACTGGTTTCTGTTTTGTCGGACGGTCTGAAAAACATATATTGGTCATTTACTTACTTTTTTTATAGAATGTTAAAAAAATAAATGAAAAGTGACCAAGAATAAGAAAAATTCATCCATATTTTACGTTACTCATGTATTTTTTTCAAATATTTTTTATTTTCCTTACTTTATTTTGTAATTAATAAAGTAAGGAAAATAATCTAACTTTAATCATGCAAGAGTTTTTAATTTCAGTTTTTTTTTTCCTGGCAAAATTTTCGAGTGGAATATGAATTACCTTGACGATATTGAAGTAAGAGATATCATATAAGTAACGATGACTGATCCGCTCAATAATATACTACGTATTTCGTAAATTTTTCACGTAAAATAAAATACTAAATTAAACTGAAGATATCAAATGAAACGGACGGGATTTCATTAGGTACTGGCATATCAATAATGTCCTCGATAGATGGACAATTTGGTATATCATCCGTGCGATCCTTATGCTTCCTAAAGAAAAGTAAAATATTGATTATCTCACTCCCAATTGATCGATAAAATTATTCTATGTCGTAAAGTAGCGTAGAGAAATTAGGAAAAATAAAGGAGTTTTATAACTTTACATTATCCATCGTTGTTTTAAAGTTCTAATTTCTTTTCTTTTAAAACGATCCGGCGACATAGTTGTAGAATCTAAATTGAACATTTCGTCAGACATTTATGATCGTTTAATTAATATTATATTATATTAATAAATTATATTATAAATTATGTATTATAGCATCAAATATTTCTTACTCTAGTTACGAAAAAAAATAAACATCTCTGATTGTGTGATTTAATTAGGCTATTAAAGTTACACTGTGCTCTATTCGAAACGATTAAATTTCAGATCAGGGTAAAGGCTAAAGCACAATGTTCTTTTTCCGCCACTGTAATGAAACTTTGAAAGAAAAAAGTTACCGTCTAAGCATACGTTAACAACATTTTCGTAGAGAACTATTTTGCTAATCAAATTAAAAATCAAATGAAAAATTTTCAATATTATAAAAATAATCGAAACGAAAATTATATATATATATTAATCAAATAATATATTAAAAAACTAATCAAATCAAAAATCCAATATTGTAACGAAACAAACAAATAAACTGGATACTTCTGGAAAAATATGATGAAAAAAAGATGAAAACAGAGAACAATATCATTCTAATGATACCAAAATAAAGTACATCAAAATTCTCCTCTTAATTTGACATCCAATTTCCGTTAGCAGATACCAAACCGCTAAGCTTCTAACAGTATTGACAAATAGATTTCAATTAAAAAACTTTTACCGTTTAAATGAATTCAAAAATTCAACATTTTTTATTGTTACACAAAGAATTGTATAAATGTTATTATCATTAATAGATTAGCTAGCTTAATTGGTTTACTCACATTATCACTGCACAAGGAAGAAATTAATTATTAACATTCAAATTATCATATTTTCCAACTATCAAAGTTTTAAATTATAAACTTTACTATTCAGAAAAAAGGGAATTTCTGTATCTCATATCTGTTAATGTTTTACAGTCATTTCTTATACATATATGATGCATATGTTATTGATATAAAAATAATCAAAATATGAAATCCAAAACAAAAGGAAGTGACCTTGAAGAGTTATCAGATAATCTTCAATTAATAATTCTCTCGTCTTTCGTCCTGAATCGAAACTTTTATCACTATTACTACTATTATTATCACCATCAGTTTGATTTAAATTACAACCCCTAATGCTATCACCACTAGAATGACAATAATGTTTTTGTACTGATATCTAATCATAATTATCATAATTACCCAAGTTTCTAATGTCACTGAAAACTTCAAATTGTCGTAATATTCATCCAAACTTTCAAATATATTTAAATGTAATTCAAGCATGTAAACTATAGACCATACAATTGGGAAATTTAAGTCCATTATATTACTATTTCAAAAACTTCAACCTCTTCCGATCCTCTTCTCATTTATCCCTTATAATTTCCTATTTCTTTCTTCATTAATATAATATTATTTCAAAATTAAAAATTGAGTACGAAATGAATAACGACACAAAAGTTTAAATTTCAAATTATTAATTATTAATTATATTTATATAAAATGATAAAATTTCTATGGAAATAAAAGATAAGGCAGCGCAAATCTTTCATTTATCCGCCATATATTTTCTAGCCGTTTACATTTCGAAATAATTACATGCTTAACAAATTGCTATAATGTTTAACAAATTGTTATAATAGACATTTAAGCAAGTAAGCAAATAAGCTAAAGTAAGAAACATATGCAACACGTGTTATATTCCCACATATTCTATTGTCCTCTATATTTAGAAATGTGCATATGATTATCTTAAAATTATATGATAAAGACAGAAAAGCAACTATCAAGCAAAACTATAGCACTCCCATGCTCTTAAATAATGCCATTGTTGAGAAAGAGTGAACCATTATATAAGTAATTTACATGTGTACAAAAGAAAAAGAAGGAACAAAAATTTGCATAAAATAAGAGAAGAGATTCGGAATTTTCAAAGATTTCTTCACTATTATAATTGTAATAGTAATAATATAATATTAACAATAATAGTAAACTATTTTAACCTGAATCATTTGACAATTATTGTTTAAAATGATACTTAATAATATTAAATTTAACATATTACTTATGTTATCTGATAATATTATAAAATGTTGAAATAAGTAGAATTTTTGCAATTGTTATTTATTCAATGTAACGTAAAAATACTTTTATTATTCATTTATATGTTATCAAAAAATAATTTTCTTGATTAATTTGTAACATTAAGTATATACGTATGCAACGTTAAACGTTTGGTAGGATTATGACTAGATTTGCGACTAGTATACACTATTAACTGTTACGCTAATACTGGAGTTAATATTTTTTAATTTTATCCAATCATCTTTATGGCCTAGCAGACAGTGGAAGACTAATCATTAATATCCTATAAATGGCTGAGTAATGGCTGAAGTCCACCTGTTGTACCTTGTTGTGTTGCAATAGCACCATAGCAGTTGAGCTTGTCGCTTTTGCAAGATCATTGAGTGAATTTTCATTTTTGAATTTTCTGTCGTTTGAGTATCCATTGCGACGCCCGAAATTTACTTATCTCTTATTTTTATACTACTGCAATGCATTTTTGAAAACAAAACAACGCATTTCTATTTCGTATAGTAGAGATTCTCCTTTTATTGCACAAATTTTTTTTGTTAGCAATCATCAGCAAGTGTAGATTATTAACTATTTTCTGAAAGTAAAACAAGTTGATACAGAATCTCTGGCATGACATGTTGACTTTAAATACAAAATCTGAAGACTTCTAATTTCCCTAACTTCACAGTGCATTACGAATTTTAATATCAAATCACGGTATGAATGCCTTATGTGAAGAAATATTAATTCGGAATATTAATGCTTGCCTGAGACGAGACCCTTTTTGCTGTGGACCAGTAGCTCAGGTGCTCGCGTATGCAGATTACGGAGATGGATCGTCACCACAGCCAACAGCATCGCCCATTTGCTGCTGTTGTTGTGCAGTGGCAACCGCAGCTGATACAGCTAGCTGATCAACAGTTTGCTGCTGTTGCAGGCATTGTTTATGAGTGGCACTCTGTGAAGGTGTAAGGAGATTTGTTGCTTTGCGATGTCAACCCGTAAAGAATGAAATAAAATGAAATAGTGTGACGAGTTATTCAGAAAAAAAATGTCAAACACAATCACAGAAGCTTTACTGAACTAAGCAAAATATCTAAATCAACCCAAAAATTTCAACTGCTACTAGTACACAATCCTAATAGACATACCGCGGTTGTCCGATACATCCATCATCAGTGCTGAAAGATAGATATCCAGATTAGGCGATCTACAATAGAACACATTAACACCATTTAATTATAAGGTCTCATTCCGAATCATTCATATTAGTTAAGTTATAAGGTTAATCTCAATCAACCATGTAGATTGTTCCTATTGTTCAGCAAGAAAGAAATTAGAAGTAATGATCAATAAGTGAAAAGATAGATTTATATATAAGAACTGACGAATAACTTGAAATGAAAAGTTAAAAAAAAAAAAAAAAACGCATGAAAAGTTAAAAACTTGAACTAAATAATCTGTTTGTAGGATTTTTTCGTTGAAAAAATTTAATTCAGTCCATTCCACATATAATTGGGCGACAAATTCATCGTAATATTAATGATGTACTAAACGCTGAATGTATTGTTGCACAGGATCTAGTTTTACTACCAACAAAAGTTGATTATAAAAAATCATACATGTGCCAATAAGGTATACTAGAAAAGAGGACTCTCCATACGTTCCAAAGTCAGTCAATATTTTTTCGGTTTAAATAAAACTTTACTCCTGAATTAATTAATTTTGATTACCTGGATACTAATCCAGTTCAAAAACCAAATTTTAAATGTCTTTTTAAATAACAAAAAAAAAGTAAAACATTTTACAAAAATAACATAAAAATAAAAAGATAAAAAAAAGACACAACAACAAATAGAGTTGAAAATTAAAATGTATTGCCGATTACTCTGGAACACTTACAAAACAATTAAAAAACTACTAGTGAACAAAAAATTGCACATTAAATAAACTAAAAATAAGTAATATTATCTTAATACAACCAAAACCAAAATCAAACTTAATATTATAAAAAATAAAACATAACCTTATCAACACCGAAATTCTTAGCACTAAAAAAAAATAACTAAACCAACAACTCCGGATATAAGACCAAAACATAAAAAATGAAAAAAAATAATAGAATTAAAAAAAAAAAAAAAACATAATAAATAAGCAAAGAAAAAAACAACAATTCAATACGAAGCAAAACAAAAATTATACTTAAAAACAAAAATAAAAAACAAAAAAAAAAAAATAAAAATACCTAAAGAAAAAACCTTTTGATTAAGAGTCAAAAATTCTAAATTTAAAATAATCCTCTAAATACGGTAAACCTCGAAAACCATATTAAAGAATTTTCAACCTACTAATCAACAGTTAGTTATACAAAAATTATACTTTAAATTCTATTAGCTTAAAACCAGCCGCGCTTAAAACGAATATACTTATTATACTAAAAAGCCCTTGTGTGTATAAAAATCTTAAGATTGCAAATCAAATATAATAATTTTATAATATATACACTGTAAAATTCTCTTATTTGTTAATGAATGAAATACTTGGTTTATTAAATAAATACAATTCTGCTAGGGTATTATAACTTTTTTGTTATAATACTCTAAGAAATGTATTTAATTTAGTAATTATTATAAAATAATTACGAATAATTATTTATAATTATATTGAACAACAACAAAAAAATAAAGTAAAAAAAATTATAGAAATAATAAAAAAATCATCATTAAAAATAAGCTATAAAAAATAATAAAATAAAACAGATATCTTACAATGAAAATTAAGAACCTCAAACATATAATAAACAAAATATAATACCTCATATTCACTCTAAAAATCGCCAATAATCAATAGATATATCATATGCTTGAGTGTGATATCAATTGAAATTATGTAATTTAACACGAAAAAAATTAATAACAAGAAAAAAAAAACACCAATTAATACATGACTTCCATGCAA